TCACAAGATTCTTTTTACATGCTTTCCCAAGGAATAAGACCAACCAGATCCAAGGGGTTTTTTTTTTTTCTTTTTTATCCTAATGTATTAAATTTACTGTAAGAAATGAGTGGATCTAAGTGGTGGGAGTGGTGAACTACAGTGAAAACCATTTTGCTTTTCAGGATCATAAAGGGAACAGATTCACTCATTACCCAGGTTGCTGGGTGTAAGGCTGTAGCCTTCCCACCCCCAGGGGAGGCCATGTCCAGAGACTAAAGAGATGTGCCAAGGCTTGACCTCCTGGCCTCAGTTGGCTGAGGCCTCCATGGTAATTGCATTGCACCTCAATGTCCCTCTCTGTCCAGTCAGCTTTCCTCAGTTCTCTATGGTGGGAATACTTTTCTCAATAAGGTTCCTGCCCCAGTCTCCACCTCAGAGTCTTTTTGCTGGGGAATCTGACCTAAAATATGCCAAATTGTTTTCCATGAAGGATGTATAAAGCCCTCAAGTCCATGATGCTGTCTACCAAAAATGGCTATCCTGCCATCTGGTTCTTACTTACCAAACCCCACTACCCCTGTGGAACTGTGAAAATGCCCCTGTCCCCATCTGCATGGCCCCTCAGGCTTGGACCTGGGAGAATTTTCCTGCTGCTTCTGTGCTGTACCCGGTCCAGAGAATGAGTCCTCACAACAACTTCTACGCCTCTCCTCCTATCTTCTTGTTCCTCTGTCACCTGTCTCCCCTCTTCTAGAGGGAAGTTTTGGTAGAAGAATTCGCTTCTCAGATCTTCAGATGGGCTGAAATGGTAAATGTCTTTACCCTTAAGACTACAGACTTTCAGAACAGAACGGAACAGAGAGCAGCTGTTCCTTGGTGCTCTTGCCTTTGGTCTGGCTGCAGCCCTCCCTGGCCACAGTGTGTGAGGCTGGATGGAGGTGGCAAAGGCTGAAAGGTGGAAGGCAGAACTCTTTATCTGCAGCATCACCTTGTGTGGTTTCACTTACTCGTGATCAAACGTGGCCTGGAAATATTAAATACAAAATATCAAAAATAAACAATGCGTAAGTTTTAGATTGCCTGCTGTTCTGTTCTCTCACCCTCTCACTCTGTCCTCCCCTTATTCAGAGCCTCCTCACCGCACAATAACCTGCCTTGGCTGTCAGATCAACCACCGTGGTATCCAATGGGCTTGTCTTCAAGGAACCCTTATTTTACTTGATAATAGCTGCAAAGCCATAAGAGTATTATCACCAACATAAATTAAACTTTGCCATAGATATGAACGTACAAGAAAAATCATAGAGTACATAGTGCTGGGTACTATATGCAGTTTCAAGCATCCCTTGGGGGTCTTAGAACATATACCCTATGGATAAGGGAGGGGTTTTGTACTCATAAATGTCTATTAAATATCAGTGAATATGATATTTCAAAAATATATTGTCATTACATCTATTGTAGTGGCTATGTATTTTTCCCTCCACAGTTCTATTAAAGCAACATCAATTTCTTACTATTTATTTATTTTCTTAAAATCTCAGATCTACTACACTGTTCTGTGGGGGGTAGTGTTAGCAACTGTGTGCTGTTACTGTTGTTCTTGTTAATAAAGCTGTTAAAGATAGCCTGCATGCAAAATAGTAAAATGCACAATACAACATAAACATTGACCTTAGACCTGTGGAACCCATCGCTGACCACACCAACCCTAGTAATGGGGACTTGGAGTATTCTCATAGTTGATAGAATTAGGTTTCCTTTTTTTTATTATTTTCTCTTAACTTTCTTTAATTAAATCATAACTGTACATTAACACATTTATGGGGTACAATGTGTACAATTTGGAATGCTTACATCAAACTGGTTAACATAGCCTTTACCTCACTTACTAATTATTGTGTTAAGAAGCTTATACTCTACTTTTAATAGATTTGACATGTGCCCTTGGCAAGGTTTCCTTTTATGTTTTGAAATTTATAAACATCTTCCTTAGTATCCACAATAATCTATTTACAATGCTCACATGCTTTGATGATTCACTGTAGTCAACACTTATTAGTAAATATATTAAATATCTTAAGTCCTTATTAATTAATGAGATTTCATGAATGAAGCTGGTGCCATGACTGAAAGAGTTACCAAGGAGAGGAAGGCAAAACAAACCCAGGATTCCAATATACCACCTTCTCTCTTTCCATTGTCCCTGAGATGAATAAGGAGGACGCCAAGTGGATTTCAGGTGACAACTGTTTGACTTTATCAGTAGAAGGGAGTATCTGACCAATAAAATTATAGTGTTCAGTCATGAAATTGTTAAGGAAATGCTTCTAAAACTAAAAATGATATGCCATGTTATGACTATTAAATTGTGAAAAATTAATAGAATGGCCAACTCCATGGGCATAGAAAATAAATGCTCTTCATTAGCTGCTGAGATGCAATTGGACCAGCTTCTGAAAGGCTAATGGACAATTTGAGGCAGGAGCCTTAAAGTGTATATTTTCCCTTTGACTTAGTAATTTCATATTCAGGTATTTATCCTTAGGACATGATCAGAGATTGCAGCAATGATTTGTGTACAAGTTTGCCTACTGAATATTTATTTATCATGTTGGAAAATTAGAACCAACCCAAATGTCACAGCAGTAGAAGGATGGTTGAACAAATGGTACCATGGGTATATCACAGAGTAATACGCATCAGTTCACATTTTTGAACATCCAGTGGCATAGAAGGTGCTTATGTAGATATTACCATGTGATGAGGAAACTATCTGAAGTTCATTTCCTTAAGTTTCCACCATTGTCCATCCTGCACTCACAGTCTCAGTCCTGGTTTTTTTGGTTCTTCTTCATCTGGTTCCCTACACCTCGTTCATTTTTATTCACTTCTTCTAAGCTTTCTACTAGCACAGATATTAAAAAGTATTCTATAGACAATATAAGATGCTATAAAATTGCTATATGTTTTGTATGAATACAGGTGTCTTAGTCTGTTTGTGTTGTTATAACAAAATTCCACTGACTGTGCAATGTATAAAGAAGAAAAAAAAGTTTATTCTTCTATAGTTATGGAAGCTGGGAAGTCCAAGATCAAAGTACTGGAAAATTTGGTTGTCTGGTGAGTGCTGCTCTCTGCTTCCAAGATGGTACCCTATTGTTACTAAATCCTTAGGAGGGCATGAAGTCTGTGTCCCCACATGTAAGAAGGCAGAATGCCCCTCCAAGCAGATGCTGCAGGAAGTCTTTTATAAGGGCTTTAATCCCATTTAAAAGGGAGGAGCCCTCATGGCCTAATCACCTCTCAAAGGCCACACTTCTTCATATTATATAATATGATGACATTGGCAACACCTGAATTTTGGAGGGGACACATTTAAACCATAATAACAACAAAAATATTTTTTCTTTTTCTTTTTCTGCCGTTCCCTCCTTTTCTTTTTTCTGTCTGTTCCCTCCTTTTCTTCTCCTTCTTTCTTCTCTTTCTTTGCTTGTCAATATGGGTGGTTACATTAGAGGTAGAAATATATAAAATTTTTGTTCTGTATATTGCTTGTTCTTCTAGCCATAAAAATATATAAGTTTTTTTAGCTCTAAAACAGTATTTTAACATGTAAAAGATGTTACGAACATATTCTCCTGTGCGAAATGGCATATTTGTTTGGAATTTAATTGTGGTGTGTCATTTTCCTTGGACAAGGCTACTCACGAAAGGAACATATTTCTAATTTTTAGAGACCTTGAGATGCTTTGTGGCTGTTTTTGAATGATATACTCACTGTGGATTCAAAACAGAGGAAAGCCTTTTTTCTTGTTCCTTTCAATAATTTTACCAAACATCTGCTAAGAGATCCCAGGGGTATATTTTGCACAGGACTGAAAAATGACTGTTGGTAATGCTAAGAGCCTGCTACTTTTCAGAATACGTAACACAGATAATATGCGTGACGATTTAATACATCCAAGAATGGATATTATATGGAGATGGCAGGCCAGCTGTTCCATCCCAAAACAAGCCAGAGGAACAGGGGATGCAGCTAGAGCGATTCAGCTTCAGTATAAAGAACTAAAATTAGTTGCCAAGGAAACTTCCCCATCCCCTGTGAAAATCCTTACTTAGAACATTGAATGTTGTCAGCTCTGGCCTGTGATTCCCAAGTCTTGCAAGTTAAAAAAAGAACAAAATATCAACTTGGATTTTAAACATAGATTAAAATCATTTTATTTGCTGGAACAAGTTCTTAATTGGTACTAAAAATGAGGAGAAAAAGTCTTTTAACTTTGGAGCTAAATAGAACCGGTTTTCCCTCTCTCCTGCTATCTCAACATAGTAAAAGCTGAACTCCTTGCAGATTGTAGAAGTGACTTCAGACTTTGCCCAAAACTTCTATCACTAGAGATTTCTCACTAGGACTTCTGAACAGACTCCTTGTCTGTTAACTACCAGCCAGAGTCAGTTTTGTCATGAGACTGTGAAACAACACTTTCTTTAATTTATACAATGATCTGCTAATCTCGAACACTGTCTTGTTTAGTTTCTCATTATGTCTTCCCTACAAAGTAGGCTTTATTATCTCATTTTCAGATGAGAAAAATTAGGATAATGGGGTCACTTATCTAAAATTACCCATTTCATAATTGGCAAAGCCAGGGCAAACCCTAACATCCTTTGAATCCTAGTTAAAGGCTCTTTGTACTCAGTAATTTTGTTTTATTTATTTATCCTTTTTTTCAGGGGTATTCCCACTTCTAACAATGTAGCTGGTTTGCCTAGTATGCCCCTGGATCTCTACCTTTCTAAGAAATTGCAGGAAAAATAAGCTAGAAAGCATTCTGGGAGCATAATGTTGCCGTCCATCCTTCCATGATAAGCAATGACTATATGACCTTGGGAAAGTTATTCAGCGTCTATTAGTTCAAGTTTCCTTACCAGTCTAGTTGAATAACACCTATCTTATAGAACTGTTGTGAGGAAAAATCAGATCGGATTAATGTAAGCGAGATGACTGGAACACAATTGCTTCTTGGCCTTTTGGCTAAGATCAAGTATAGTATCTGGTCTTATTAGTTTGATATCTGACACACTCTCTATCTGAGAACAATACATTAAACGGATTTTTGAAGTAGGGAGTTAGGATAGGTGCTTGCTCTGTCTACTCCATGTATTAACCTGGCATCATAGCACTTCTAGGAATGGTGCTTCTCTTCTAAAATAAAAAATAAATAAGTGGAGTAAAAAATGTTGGTTAATATAGGGTGGCCATAAAACTCATGTACAACTTAAAATAGTTTTACATTATGAATCATACACAAACTTTATGGACACCCCATGTTATAAATTAGCCATCAACTCTAGACCCCAGGTTCACTTTTCCAGGTGATAATAGTATAATGAACTAATTCTATGAAAACCACCGATAAATATACTTCTTTTCAAGGTACTGGATGAATTCAGGGATGAATAAAACTAGTATTTCTCCCCAAGGCTTATCATTTAGTGAGTACATAGGGACTATGTGTACATGTCTGCAGCTAAGGCATGATAAACACTATAAGACTAGTACATGAGGAAAGGAGATGGTCTTAACAGCTGGAAGGATTTGATAGGATTTCTAGAAGTGGTGGGACATTGTACATCTTGTTTGCCTTAAACCTCCATGAGACTTGGTTCAGAGGCTGCTGCATAGAGGATGCCCAGGGGATAAATTTGGAATAACTTAAGTACAGCAAGCAGAGGCCAAGGATTGAGGAAAGCTTTGTGGGAGAAGAAATAGTATCAACTACACATGAAGACATGAAAAACATACATCTAGGAAGTTCATGACAGTGGACTCATGGGTAAGGACTTAATGAAGAAATTGCCATATCACTAAATCCCAAAACCAGAGATGCTTGCGTGGATGTGAAGAAAAGGGAACACTCCTACAATGCTAGTGGGAATGTAAACTAATACGTTCCTTTTGGAAAGACATCTGGAGAACACTTAGAGAACTAAAAATAGACCTGCCATTTGACCCTGCAATTCCTTT